CAACCGGTTTTGGGTTGGTGTCAGCTTGGAGGAGCTTGGTTGACATTGTGGTGGTTCGATTGGTTTATCTGAGCCCGGAATAGTGTTGATTTGGAACCTCAAATTCTACAACTGTGACAGGAGTTTTATCATATTTTGATTGGACATCTGATTGTAGCAATGTCTTTTGCACCTTCTGTAGTAAGCAGCAGCAATGAATGTTAGTTATCTTGCATAATGCAGAAATTAGTGGGTTCATACCAATGACATAAAAATCTGCAGTAAATCGAAGAGCTAATTGAAAAAGTGAACTGAGAAATTTGATCTGAAATTTTTCCATTTCCAGTTAGCTCCACTTCCTTGAGAAACCAACTCAGAATGGCCAAGAAACAAAATTCCTTTAATTCTGGAAACGTACTTTTCGACAAAACTATAGCTAACCCGTGCAAAGGTAATGCTAAAAAGTCCAATCCATAATTCACTATTAGAAATTCACCTTTATTCCATTTGGGTATTGTGAATTTCACCAAATGATATGCAATCTTTCATCCGAGCATTACTTAAATTCCCAAAAAAAAGAAGCAATTTTTTCATCTGGGAATCACTTAAATTTACAATAAAAAAATTCCTAAAATAGCAATAAACACACTACGAATCACTGAAATCCAACAAAAATGAAACAGGACCTGGCAAAGGGCGAGGAGCAAGAGAGGCTGCTTTCTTAGCAGCAGCAAGTTGTCTGTCGTAAAACATTGAAACAGATGCTCCTCTCAGTGCACGTCACTGTGAAGGGATGGAGAAGAATAGTGGGGGCCTTGATACGGATGCGAGTCTTTTGTACAATTGATGCAATCATCTCTCTCCTTTCTCTGTCAAGCTTACATTTTGATAATATTTTAACAAGCATTGCTATTAAGACTATGGTTGTCATACGTATATATGTCATAATTTATTGTTCGATGCATGAAATATTTAAAAATTATCAAATTAATATATCAAATAACTTATCACATATATGTCACGTATGATTAATATTAATAATTTTCACTATAAATAACATTATTTTTTTTAACGGATACAAATTAAGGAAAGAAAATCACTAGTATTTATGACTTAATTTTAACCCCCGTTTGTTGGGATTGAAATCAAAATTTCAGTAAATATTAATAAAAGTTGATGAAATGTATGGTTGAAAAATTATGGATCCCACCAAATACGTGGTTAAAATTAATTATTGACTTGACTTATTAAAATCCGTACGTTTGATTGAAAGCATAAAATTTGTATGGAAATAAAATAAATTCTAAACAATTCATGAAAATTATTAATTAAATGTATTTGGTTAATTTAGTTTTCAACCTAAAATCTATTATACTTATCCATTTTTTATTCTAGAGAAATATTGAATTATTTGGAAAATAAAAACCACCAATCCTTAGAGAAAATAGAAAAATATGGTCACGTGACCAAACGTTAAAAAAAAAAAATTACATGAAAAAAATTGTCAATCAAACACCTCAAAAGTATGAATTTCAATGAAAAAAATTACATTCTCTATGAAAAATAAAGTCAATCTAGTACGCTAAAATTTTAATTCTTACGAAATATGCCTTGGTAAATTATATAGAATTGAAAAGATGGGTTGAACTTTTGTCTATGTTATGTCTAATATTTTGATTTTAATGTTAGAAATTTATTATCAAACACTAATTAAAGTAGCTTTTTCATAAATTTTTCTTTAAAAAAAAATGTGAAAATAAAAGCAAAGCACTTTCAAAGGGAACCCAACAAGATTCGTGCTAGATGACCCAACAAAGGCTCAAATAGGTGAAAGCTGGCCAACCAATTGGGCTTGGACTTCCAACAAATGAAAATAGCCCATCACTTAAAAT